TAAAAAATAATGTTAGAAAAAACACATTTATTGTATTTAGAAATTGTATTTATCTAAGTATTTTAATTATTATCTTAATTTTTTTTAGTAAGCCTATAAGATCCCACTGCTGGGCAAAGGCCTGCCCTTCCTTCTGCTACGTTTCATTATATATAAGTATATAATTAATATGTTATGGTTTACAAACCTTTTTTTATTTTTGTGATATGTATCTACATTATGTTAAGCTAGCTGGTGAACAATAAATAGTACCGCGTCGTGTTATCTACATAAAATAGATAGTCTCCAGGAGATGAGGTTTTGGGATAAAATTGCAGGGGGTGTAGTTCTGAAGGTTACCTACAGTAGAGTATTTGAGTATCGTTGTTGTTTAGTTAAAGCCGGAAAGGTGTCTTACGTCTTTGAGACCACAATCTTGACGATTTTCCGGGGCAATCGCCCTGAGAAATAGGCGTTTTATGAATTTAGGTAGCTTTATATACCCGACGACGAGCTCAAATTTCGAAACGAACAATTTCAATTTAAAACCCTAAAAATTCAAAAGCTGTAGAGGTTAAACTATGTTAATTAGCATACTTGAGCCAAGTCTGGAAAATAGCGTTGATTATGTTGCGTTTATGTACCATATTTTTAAAAACCTCCCTTCTTCTCTTCTATTATATTAAACTCTTCTATCAAAACTTCCCTCGTATGGGCTTCCCGAGAAATTATGTGCATGGGTCACTAGTTTTTTGGCAGACAGAAGCATTAAGGTTTTAATCGACGGTGAATGCTCGGACCTACTGTCTTTAAATGCTGTTCCCCAAGGATGTGTGCTATCACCTACACTTTTTCTTCTGCATATTAATGACATGCTGCATATTAGCGGTATTCATTGTTATGCGGATGACAGCACGAAGACCTATGTATAACGGTCGTGCTAATATTTCTCGGGAAAACGTCATTCTGAGCCGGAATCAACTTGTGTCCGATATTGAATCTTCGTTATAGGAAGTCTAACTGGGGTCGACTTAATTTGGTCCACTTCAACCCTACTAAGACACAGGTTTGAGCGTTCACCGCCAAAAAAGCCCCTTTTGTCGTATCACCTCGCTTGTAAAACATTCCCCTAACTGCCTCAGTCAATATTGAGATTTTCGGTGTCGACATATCGAGCGAGGTCCAGTTCCGTGGTCACTTAGAGGATAAAGCTAAATTAGCATCTAAGAAGCTTGGTGCGCTTAATAGATCGAGGCAGTATTTCACTCCGGCGCATCGCCTGCAGCTTTACAAGGTGCAGGTTCGGCCCCATATGGAATACTGTTCTCATCTTTGGGCAGGTGCACCCCAATACCAGCTTCTCCCTCTAGACCGCATTCAGCGGAGAGCGACTCGTATCGTCGATTGCCGGGACACTTCAAGTCGGCTTGATCCACTGGCCCTGCGTAGAGATGTTGCTTCACTGTGCATCTTCTATCGCATCTATTACGGGGAATGCTCCGAGGAATTGTTCGGACTCATACCTGCCGCTACTTTCCGCCATCGTTCCACACGACAAGAAATCCACGCCCATCATCTGGATGGTTGGAAGTCCTCAACTGTGCGTTTTTCTAAAAGTTTTCTGCCTCGCACAGCCAAACGCTGGAACAGTTTGTCGCCAGCGGTATTTCCGGACCGATACGACCAGTGCCGGTTTTAGCACTACTAGCGCCCTGGGCGAAATTTCTTCGGCGCCCTCTAACTGCAATTCAATTACAATCAGTTACTACTACATACTACAAATCAGTTACTTGTCTTTTTTTCGCCGACCCGGCCTACTTACTTGTAATTTTCCTTAAATTTAGGTAGATTGTTAAGTTGGCAGCATTAGAATGGAACGTAATGTTCAATCGGTTTAATTTCTCGGGAATCCCTAACTTTCCGACTATACAGAAACAATGTGTTTTTCTATCTTTATTCTTTTCGTCACCGCTTTACTGTGGAGATTCCACAAACTCGCACCAATCGATTCGCCTCTACATTCATCGTGCGAATTGCGAAGCTGTGGAATTCGCTACCAGACTCGCTGTTTCCGGACAGATACAATCTGGGACTCTTCAAGGCAAGAGTGAATCGGTTCCTTCTAGGCAAGCACGCTCCATCTTAGACCACTGCATTGCTTACCATCAGGTGATCTGTGGTCAAGTGCTTGCCTATCTAGAATAAAAAAATAAAAAAAATAATCGGGGATTCCCTAGATCTATCTCTTTTAATTTTTGACGAAGAAGAACACAATCAACAATTATCTTCTTGCTTGACATAAGTGGACGCTCTTAAAACAATTATTCGATTATTTTAAAACAAACAAACAATTATTTTAAAAGAAATGAGTAGCTCGGTGGCGTAGTGGTTAAGCGCCGCAGCCCGCGATCGTTGTCGTTAAGCAACTTTCGCAGGGGTCGGTCATGGGATGGGTGACTAAAAAATTGTTATCTCGAGCTACTCCGTGCTTCGGAAGGCACGTTAAGCCGTTGGTCCCGGCTGCATTTGCAGTCGTTAATACCCTCCAATCCGCATTGGGCCAGCGTGGAAGGTCATGGCCCATCCTCCTTAACCATCCATAAGGAAGGCCTGAGCCCCTGCAGTGGGGACCTAAAAAGGGCTGATGATGAAACAATCAAACGTTTAACGCTACGTTACGATGCTCTTGTTCCAACTATATAGTGACATTAGTGTTATTTAAAAAGTAGACATATAAATAGTGTATAAGTAGCGGATTCATTTTTGACGGATCACATCATTAGGTAAGTATAGATTCATGTTTACCCTAACAGGGTGTTGTTATCTATAACTTTGTGTAATTATTGTATCTTTGTGACAGTGAGTTTGCAGTGGGCCACTACTTATTATATAATCAATTATTTTGCTATTTCAAATAAGTGGACAAGTAGCTGGATCCGCTATATTCGGGACAACAGTATCAACATCATCTAGTACATGTATTTGTTGTACACCAATAACAGATTTATCATAGCACAACTTGTTCCCTTACTTCGGGATTTTTCATCCACAATCTCTTGAGTAGCTATTCCATCTGACTTGCCAGACAGAGGCTCCATTGCCGATGCATTCGTTTGTATTGCAGCATTTTAGATTTAGCTTAACGTTTAAACATACTCAAAACGAAAATTTTCTTAAATGACCGAGCGATAATGCCCGTCAATGTACTTCATATTACCTAATAAAATACATATCTTCATATTGGTAATCGGTATGTTGCTCTGTTTTACCATAATATAATATTTTTCTTGTTAAGTTTCCTTTCAATTCATGCTGAAAGTGAGACAACTTGAAAATAAAAAAAAATCCTCAAGGTTCTTGTTCTTTTTTCGCCGACCCAGTAGGCCTTGTTCAATGAGCAAGGGAACTATAAGAGGGCGTCTGTGGGAAATGAGGAAGTTTTAGAAAAAAACACATTAGTTCCCGAAATCAAACTAGATGTCGCTACGGTATGTTCTTGATTTCTCCATGACAACCCTTCCAGTTTTCTTACATGTTTAAAAGTAAATTAGTTTTCTAAACTCAATTAAACTTTTTCGTATTTGTATTGATATCTAAGTTTCGAACTTTTCAAATTACAGTTTTTTAATATGTTAGTTAAAATGAACGAAAATGACTGTCTTTGTTCCATTCGTTTCCTGCAAAAATCAACTTTTGCTTGCGCCGGACGAAAAGGGGCGCTGCGGCCTGCGGCGCTCCTTTTCGTCCGGCGCCCCTGGGCGGTCGCCCAACCGCGCCCTACCCTAACGCCGCTACTGGATACGACCATCAAACTTTCAAGCGTAGAGCTTATTCGTCCCTCAAAGGCCGGCAGCGCGCTTGTAGCTCCTCTGGTGTTGCAGGTGTCCATGGGCGGCGGTAATCACTCATCATCAGGTGATACGTCTGCTCGACTGCCCCCTTTTCCATAAAAAAAAATGCCATTCTGTGTTATGCGAAACTGTAGGAACTACTTACATAAGTAAGTCGACTAAAGATCAAGGGGTCACATTTCACTAGTAGTAGGACACTAGTAATTATACATTTTTTATTGATTTACATTTTAATCGGAAAAATAAATATTGTGAAATCAAAAAATCTTTAAATGCGATTTGCACTGCCCCATCGGAGTTTAATTTTTTCCCTTCAAATTTTTGATTAAGGTGGCCAGTACGACAAAACGCCAATTTCATATGTAAGGATTTAATATTATTGTATACCGTACCTAAATGCCACTATTAATAATTTCACAGCATTAATTCCATTGATTTCTATAACTTTAAAAAAAACTTTCCATTTCATAGCTTCCATTTTCCTTTATACAAATATAAAAGAAATTTATTCAAAGATTAGTTCGTATTACTGACATTACCCTTTTTTATTGTAATATCATTGGAGCAAAGTATGAAATATGCCTTTTACTAAACCTACTGCTTTCTCCTGTTTTTTTTAGTTGAGCTGTTGTTTACTATAGTTTCTGCCCAGTGTTACCAACCCCAGGTAACACTAGGTTTAGCAATAATTTTTATCTCAGTCTAGCCATTTCAATAAATTTTGGATGTAGTGACCTATCCAACGATGCCCCACACTATGGGGAAGACGAAAAAATCATCATTCTCCACTTTACTCTAACAAACTGTAGTGGTACTCTAAAAAAGTTTTTCTTTCGAATTTTTACTTTACCATTTTGTCAGCATAATTAACATATATACTCGTGTTAAAATACAACTTTCTATACCAATAGTTTTTGAGCTAAGCCCCCTAAAGGACGGATGGACAGACGGACATAGCGAAACTATAAGGGTTCGGTGTTTACTACGGAATCCTAACAATCTTAAATCAAAAGCTATTTAATTAGTTATAGGTGAATATACTACCTACATATTTTAATAGTAGATAGGTATTACTCCAAAGAGGTCCCTAAACCAATAATTAACACATTTAAGTGCAGGGCTATGTTCCACTTAGGCAGGCAGGCCTTATCGTCGTGTCGAACGATCTTCTCAACTGAACGACGCGGTATTGAGAATGTTTAGTATTAATATTATGTAATAGGAGGCGTGGGGTTGTAAATCGCGGACGCAGGCGCGACTCTGGAGGGCGCACAAGGGGCCAAGGGATGAGGGTGCGTCAGTCGACGCTCGGCGACTGGAGGTGCAAAGCGCTTCGCGCCGCGCCCCATATCGCCGGAGCGTGGCTCGGGGCGTGGCGCTTACGTAAACACGCGCGAGACACAACTCGCGCCCCGGGCGGCGCGGTGCCGCGCCACTGTCCGTCCTAGAACGACCCCATGTCGGCCCGCGCCGCCATCTAAGTGAATGTCGATTGCTGGTCGGACGCTGCCGCGCCGCCGCCGCTGCCGTTGCCATCATTGCCCACGTACAAGCTTATAGGTATGCTATCTGACTCACTTATCTCGATTTACCAATGAAGGAGCAAGACCCCTTCAACATACTCGTGTGTAACGTGATAATGTCATCATAGACAGTAATTTCTTTCTAAACCCTACCTCAATATGTACCATTAGAACCAAAAACATTTTCAGACTGTACTTATAGCTAACTAACATACCTATATGATTCAAGCTATACATGACTAATTGTAATTAATAATCATGAACTTTATAAACAAAAAAACAAGTTAGAATTCATTAGGTGCTTTCATTTGTAATTTCTCTACTGTGCCAAAGGCGTAGGTACGAGTATACAATGTTTCTATCGTAGTACTAATCATTATCTATTACTATAAAAAAGACCAGTCAGCATAACTTATATATAAATAACAGCTGTTTTTGGAATAAAACTTGTTCAAGGTTAAAGTGGTGTATGCATTAGGGTTGCCGCCATTTATTGTAAATAGTTGAAAAAATATATTATTTTAGAAAAATTCAATAAAATAAAAAGTTAATTATTTATAAAAGCATACACATTGACAACGAGATAAACTATATTTAGGTATGCTTCACTACGACGACGGCCACAATAACACAGATAGGGTTGGCGCGTCGGTATAGTTTGTTGTAATTTGTAAGGTGATATTAAAAATAAATAGCTATTAAGTATATCATCGTAAGTACTTTTATTTGTAACGGTAAATAAGTACCTAATATTTTTACAATAATTTTTAAGAAAACGTGACCAGAGGCACTGTTTGATTTTTTACTTTTTAGAATTATTCATTGTCCATTTCCTATTTTCGAATGGTGACATTTATAGCGTCTGTTTTGTTTATACAAAATGAAAATATGAAGTACCTAATTAATGTATTTTGTGATTAAAGCGCGCCAAATCGCGGTATTTTTTAAATCATTAAATAAATGTTTAAGTTATTATATATTTATTAGCAGAAGAATAATAAGATTGATACTATAGCTTGATAAATATTTAATAGTACCCCTTTTCTACAGGTAAAACTTTTTTTAATTAGACTAAAGTGGCGATATTCTGTATTTTTTGTTCTTGAACACGAGAAAATATTTTAAAAATCCAGAAAAGTCTTATGTTGAAAACTAACTGTGCGATCGTGCGTCTCAGGAATAACTTGCAAATGCACGAAAGTGCAGTGCCATAAATAGAAAATTTTATAGAAACAGTATTATCTTACAAAATCAACTTTATTAAACGACAAAATTTGTCGACTTTGTTTTGAAATATTTAATATTTCAAAACAAAGTCTGCTAAATCGGTCCAGTCGGTCAAGTTCTAGAAAGAATTGATTTTTGTATATTGACATTCGAAAGTAAAAAAAAAGTTTTAACCTGCAAAGTCAAAATTGTTACAACTTACAAAAGTAGATTTTTGTAATGTTCTTGTGTTTTTTTTCCAAAAACATAAAAGTTATACGCTCCGAAGAAAAATTTTGTTTTTATTTTGCTTTCCAGCAGTGCCGATGGTAAGATAGGTTTCAAAACAGGTTTAGATTCGTGTTTAAATTGTTTAACAAAGTAATTTGATTGTGTGCATTTTTTTGTGTTTTTATGCAAATCTATTTCGTATACAGGTAGGTATTGTGTTTTTAAAAGGAGACACACCATGATGTTCTTTATTGTAAATTGTGGAGAGATAATAAAAGTATTATATTATTATAATTTCCTAATTGCTATAACAGTTAGGTACCTATACTGTTTATTTACTTTTAAAATAATTCATATATCAGTTTAATATTAGGTACATTTTACTTTTACTTTTTAGAGAGGATTTTACTTGGGACCAATTTTGTTTAACATATTTGTTAATTGCTAGTATCTTTTAGATCTGAAAAAGTTTTAGAACTACATTGCAGAAAGGATCCTGAGCTTGTACCTGGGCGGTTGTTTGATAAAAAATTGTCAACGAATGCTTTGCCAGCTTCTTTCGATTAATTAATGAAATTAATTAATGAATGAAAGACTTTTGTAAATCTGTCCAATAGTTTCGGGGCCTAGCCAATCTGAACAAACAAGCAATCAAATCTTTCCTCTTTAAAATATGAGTATAGATTATTGGAAAAAATGATGGCGAGCTAATAAATAAAATCCCCCTTTCTAAGACTTTTACTATGTTGAATATTTTTATTAAGATATAATGTGGTAACATTAGTTATAATTTACGCGGCTAGTTAACAGTTAATTATATAGGTACGCTTGTGGGTACTGGCTGTACTGTTGAAGGCAACACCGATTGGCCGATAATCGAAACTACTTTCTCGTTCACTATACTGCAAAGTCCGAGCTCTTTAAGAGCTCGACCGCATTTCTCTATCGAAGGGAGTTTCAGACTCAAATAATACTGCATATGTGTTGTGATCAACAGTTAGACGTGCTAAGTTATGTTCAGGGGGCCAATTCTGCTAAATAAATTTTGTTTAAATCGAATCGAAAACGGATCGAAACCGAACGAAACTACGTTTTTTAATAGTTTTCCTATTCTACAAAGTGACATAGAATTGGCCCCCAGGAGTTTTCTGAGATTGCTGTATGAGTTCTCTGAGAGCTCAAGATATTTTCCCTAACAATGACTGCTCCAGATTCAACTTGATAGTGCATGAGAGACGCGATGGGCATTTAAATATGCTTCGCTTTCTGTCCGAGAGCTTAAGCGATTTTGTTTGTCAATAAAAGTCTAAGGGTCGACAGACTTGCCGCTACGTATCTTTAGTCAGACATACGCGTCTTATTTGTCGCAGAACGTCTGAGAACTAAAAAATTAATTGGATTTTGCACAATCGCAATGCACAATGTACTAATACTTGTATATACTTCCGTGAGGTGCTTGACTGACCTCCATCAATTTTGCACCGACACTCAGACACATAAATATGTAATATTGCATGAGCCTCATGACCAGTGAATAAACCTGTATCTCCAGTGAAGACTGCAAATACCATCTTTAAAGTAAAACGATTTGAATGTAAAAAAAACAAAAAGACTAAGAGGAAAAAAGTTGATATAACTTGAGTCGTCTTCTCTCATTCGAGAACGGTGTAAACCCAGTTTAGATTCATGCTGAGTCAAAGTTTCTGTAGGACGTACCCTGGCCTAAAAATTTTCTACGTCTTGCTGCAGGTTCTTCTTAAGAATCTCATCCTTTTAGCAGTTTTGTAGGTTTGACGTTTTTTCAAGGCATTCTTATAATTTATGTATCTACCTTTTTGATGAAAGTATCTGCTGAGACGTGAACTAAACTTTTAACGTCGAGAAAATACTTCTGGCTCTGTTCCTGTTACCCGGCAAGCCAACAGAGAGCAGGACTCGTCTCCTTGAACCCACCCAGCCGCGGCCGAGTCACCAGGACACTCAAGTATTGGACCATTGATCCCATCGAAGTTGGAAAGGCTCGGGTCCATCGAAAGCCTCTCCCAGAGAATTTACTATCGAAAACCTTATACGTGCGTTCGTTGTAAACTACTCGATGCTTAATTGCAGCAGCGTAACGCTCTTTTCGCTTGATCTCCTATTCGCGTGATCGTATAAGTACTTGTCCATAAGCTGAAGCTTATAATACCTATATATGATCAAACATATTAAATAGGGTTCACCCTATTTAATATGTTTGATAATATAATATATAATTGAAATCAACTTACATTGCAGTATCCAACATATTGAAAACTTATGTCTTTACTTATATTCATATAAATTATAATTTTACAGACAATATCAATACGTAGCTCGGTAGCGCAACCCGCGATTGTTGGCCTTAAGAAATTTTCACATGGGTTATTAACGGGATGGGTGACCAAAAAATTATTAAATAAAGGCCTGAGCACTGAACACACACTGCATGAGGATGTAAAAGAGCTGACGATGATAAACAATATATCTGACTAAAATTTAATAAAGCAATTAATTTCATAGCAATTTTGGCAAAAATTCAAATTGATACAACTTTTTTATTTATTTAAATAAAACTTACACTAAATGTTAACGGAAGGTTACCACAATACAACAGTGAAAACAGCATTGAAAGCGATTTAGCCGTTTCTGAGATAAGATCTGTCTATTGAGTTGCCGACGAGCATCCTCAGAAGACTGCAGAACCATTTCACGCCATTCTTCCATTAGCTTGTTTGTCTGCTCCGAGATTTTGCTTCTTTTTTGAGTACGGTACCTTCACCGAGTCGGCGTCCGTTCGCGCCAGCATGGCTTACGGCACTGCCGGGCACTCGGGGCCTTTCGTTTGGGTCTATTTTCTATCTATGAAGGGTTTTGGGTCGTCTCCCACCACGCTGGCCCAATGCGGGTTAGTGGGGAGCGCCAGAGCCTTGTTGGTTAGTCGGCAGGATGTACCGCGTGCAGGTGAGGTTGGCTTGGCATCCGTTAGATGTTGTTCGGACCCCCTTACACCCCTATAATGAAAACTAAAACGAAATGAAAACTATATTATTATAATTTATTCTTATGTTTATTTAGGAGAAATCTGGATTCTGGGGTACTAAATGTATTTAGAATATAAATCATTCCTTGAATATAGAAAGGATCCAGAAAAGATTTTTACAATATGGCAGTTGGCACGATGATCGTAACGTAATTCATGAAAAGACTAGGCCCTAAAAATAAGCGGGGCCATTCCAAAATACTGTCATTAACAAAGCGACCAGAATTATGGGTACTAAGATGTTCACAAACAATACAGTTTATTTTAATTTAATTAGTTTATTAGCAGTAGCTGATGAAATTCATTAAACTAAGAAATTTGAATATTTTTAAACACCACCATCCGCGTAATGTCAACAATCCACTAATGCCACCATCACCTTTCGTATCGTAAAACAGTTCCTGGATATGTCCCTATAGGTTGTTTAGTTTAGTTCTTGAATGTTTATTTATTAATATTTAACATAAAACTATTTTGGTATGAAAAAATCACGTGAAATAACAATGGTTGACAAACAGAAACATAATAATTACAAAGACCTACAGTACAGAAGTTTAGTACAAAAACCGGGCAAGTGCGAGTCGGACTCGCGCACAAAGTGTTTCGTAACAAAACGAGCAAAAAACTCACGTTTGTTGTATAGGAGCCCATTTCAATATTTATTATATACTGATTTTTACTATCACGTTTCATGAGATACGGCCTGGTGACAGATAGACAGCGAAGTCTAAGTAATAGGGTTCCCGTTTTACCCCGTGTTTTGCGAAATATTATACCCAAAGCAGGTTAAAAAACTTCACAAAACAATTTCTGTATCGAACGGAAATGTAACCATGGACCTCAGGGCCTCTTAAATCCAAATTTAGTTTTATCAGGAATTACAAAAGATAATACGTAAGTTAAAGTAGAATAGACGAAACATTTCACGATATATCGACCGCTATGTAGCTCGTGTACATATTGTTACAAAATAAATTTTGTCTAGCATCAGAAACGGAGATGCAGGCGCGCACAGCGCTGATGGCGCTAGCGGCGTTGGGCGCGCTAGCGACAGCAGCGGCGGCGGCCGAGCGCGGCGGTGGAATCAAGGTGGGCGGCGGTACGATGGGTGGCGCGGGCCGAGACGGCGTGCGTGGCAGTGGCGTGAGACTTGGACTCGGTGACGGAATAAGGCGCGCGCGTACTTCGCCCGCACCACCACCGCCTCGGGCACCGTCCGTTATAACCGCTGCCCTCGTTGTTCCCCACAAAGCCTTTGGAACACGCGACTACACGAAAGCCGAGAAGGCAGCTCTATCAAAACTGCCACGCAAACTAAAACTATTTTCGCAAGTGCGTCTTAATGTTACACTTTCTACGCAAGGCCTGACGCCGAGTCCAATGTGTAAGTTTTAAGTGGGTTGTTCCTGAAAAGAGTTTCTTGACGTCATATCTATGGCACTTAAACCAAAAACTAATCAGTAATCAGTATATCTTAATCAGTAATAATCAGTATAACTTGAATTATATTTTAGTTTAGATTTTATAGTTTTATTGATAAAAAAGGGCCTTGGATTTTACTAAAGAATACTTTTTTCACGATTCACTCAAATATGGCACAGATAAAGTGTGAATGTATAATCATTTTACTTAAAATCTCTGGAGACCTTAACACTATTTTCGTTACATTTCAGCTATTTTAGATTCCCTCTGTAAGGAGTTTTTAGCAGTCAACGTATCTGCCATTCTCTATCTCATGAATCATGAACAGTACGGGCGCTCTACTGCATCTGCACAGTATTTTTTACAACTCGCAGGATATCTCGGAATACCGGTAAACTGATTTACAAATTATATATTGGAACTGTCATTCATAACGGTTCTGATTGACAATTTATACTGTTTGTAGAAAATAAAGTTTTATAGGTACAGAAAATAATATAGAGTTCATGATACAATGTTTATTTTGTAAGTGACAATATTTTGATTATCACATTCTAGATATATTTTTACATTGTAAATTACTACAAACCTATATGGCCAGGGTTACAACATTGATGCAATGATTGCAGGTTATAGCATGGAATGCCGATAACAGTGGGTTAGAGAAACGGGCATCGCACGCGTCTCTACGTCTCCAGTTAGCCCCGTCCATTGAACATCAAACAGCAGCTATGTTGTCTATATTAGAGAGATACAAGTGGCATCAATTTAGTGTTGTCACTTCAGCTATTGCTGGACATGACGATTTTATACAAGCCGTGCGCGAAAGAGTGACAGCGTTGCAGGTATGTATGAATACACTTAGTCTATACTCCATTCATTATAGCATTAGACAGAAGTTAAGTCAGGTTCTTTTTATGGTATACTTTGTGACAAAATATCACTAATCATATTACTCTTAAGACTGACGGCTAATTTGCTACATATCCACTTAAATACCAGCTGCTATGCTTAACTGTTGTCATTTAAGCTGTCTATAAAAAGTGTTAATCTTAAAGAACCTAAAGAAGCAGGGTTGGATAGTTTCGGCACGATTCTCATGTCACTATAACTCTAGCAATTTTAAAACGTTGCCTAACCCCTTTAAACATTTCGGCAGTACAGCTTTTTAATTTTGTCAGACTATGATATATTCATAATTGTTAAAATACGTAATCTGTTATTGTCATCCATTGTGAATGCTACTGCCTTTCTTGTTGTTTTACCGTTTTCCGTGATTAAATTGTCATTGTTTTATTTTTGTTTTTGTTGTTAAGTTTTGTTTAATATGGACGATGCCGGTGCAGGCCCGAGTGGCCTACAACAATACGCTCTAAGCCCCCATACCTACACTCAACCTTTGACATTTCAGGAAGTTTTTCCAATGTCTTCTTCAATAGAATTTATCAAAACAACAGATAGATAGCTTTAGTTCCATGTTGGCTTGGGAGTAAAAGATGAATTAAGAAAATGCAGGCCTCATCTCAACCCTGAGGTATCGTAAAAAATTGAAAATTGCCCAGCTCTTTCAGACTACCTAACGTTCAGTTTCAACTAAACTCTAATATAATTTTGTAAATTAATCTTGAAAATAAAATGTTCTGCACTGCTGCTTCTATGACCCTCTTTTTTCTAATGTTATAATGAATGGAGTATAAGTGTATAGGTACACTATAAAATATAGTAACATCCATTTAAGATATTCGAAATATAACCTTAGGTAGTATATAACAAATAATAAATACTCGTAAATATTACCACAGTAGATAAATGTATATAAGACACTTTCACATACATTGCTCAGATTGCAAATGAATTAGTTAAAGCACTAGTATTTTGCATATCTGAAACAAAGAAAGTAACACAATATCCACATCCAGACCCGACACTAAAGAAAAGTTTATTTTCTTCATTGACCCGGCCAAGAATTGAATCTAGAACCTCAAAGATGGCGATGACACCTTGAAGTGAGCATTAAGATAGCGGGACTACTTGGAGACTCAAGACATTTTTCTTAGCATATTTGTTACTTAATGACGTTAATATGGCTAAGGATAAGGGATTTTAATAAAATTTGTAAACAGGATCGACTAACGCATATACGATATTAACCAGCTTAAATTAAAGGTTGCCTAGGTATTACGATTGTTTCGTCCAGGTAATGCAACTGCTATTTTAGTGGGATGTTTTATTACAGTACAGGGTAAGTTTTTATTTAGAGCACATTTTTTTAGTACGGTGTAGTATCTTGATAGAACATGTTGAAGTATCATAATAAATGATATTTTTAATTACACATAAATTAATTTGTTTGAATGTTTAAAATAATAAAGTCACATCTGCAGTTACTTTGGTATTATTTAATCTTGAGAATTCATAGCTAATTTTAAAACTTCATCATTTTTCAAATTCTACTTCTGATCAAATTCACAAAAACTAGATTACCTACATCCACTTTGAAAAGACGCTCTAATTAAATTATATTATTAGTACTTCCTACCAACTTTGTAGTATCCTACAATTGAAAAGTTCCCAAAAACTGTATATTTACAAATAAGAACAAAATACATTCTTTTATTCAATATAGTTCTTAATTTTTATTTTATTTGTTTGTTAATAGCTTGCCTATATATGTACATTAGCTTAAATTATGTTTCTTGAAGAGTCAATTACGGGATGCTGCAAAAGCAACTACAAGTTCATTCTCGAATTTTATTTTACTGTCTTAGCATTTACAAATAATAGTCATTAGTAATTTGATTGATAATACAATAATATATGTATATATCAATTTATTGCAGGATCGTTTCAAGTTCACGATTCTGAATGCTGTAGTAGTAAAGCAACCATCTGATCTCAAAGAATTAGTCACGAGTGAGGCACGAGTAATGCTACTGTATGCTACACGCGAAGAAGCAGCAGATATTTTGTCAACAGCAAGTGATCTCCATCTTATAGGAGAGAACTTTGTTTGGATCGTCACACAAAGTGTTCTTGGTTCATTGCAGCAGCCAAACAAATTTCCTGTAGGCATGTTAGGTTCGTACTAAAAACATTACACTTAAATTGTTTGATTGATATCACACGTTTTATTTTTAAGAAATAACATGAATGATTCATATTTCAAAAGGTGTACACTTCGACACTTCGAGCTCTTCACTTATCGCGGAAATAGCGACAGCTGTGAAAGTGTTTGCATACGGAGTGGAATCTTATATTTCCGACGCCGAAAATATACGCTACCCTCTCGGTACTCGGCTGTCGTGCAGCGGTGCCGGTGCAGGTGAAGCTCGCTGGTCTACCGGGGAAAGGTTTTATCAACATTTGCGTAACGTTAGCGTTGATGGCGAAGCGGGCAGACCAAACATAGAATTTACCCCTGATGGTGAACTGAGGGCTGCAGAACTCAAGATTATGAATCTTCGTCCTGCTATAGGGGAACAGGTAAGCTTTGTAATATAACTATTCTATTATGTAATAGTGTGACATTAAATCAAGCTGTAGAAATAAAAGTATTTGAATAAATTAAAATGAAAAATATTTTTATTTACATCTTATAGGTTGTCATTTCTTTTCATTTTTGTAAACTTTATTGTAAATGCGTGAGTGAGTGATTGGCTGTGTTGATGAATGAGTGTGTGCGTGTGTTCTGTCGAGATGATAATATTTCTTATTTATATTTGATTGCAAATAAAGGCAGGCTGAATAATATATTGACACTGGGTTATATATTGAAATGTGCTTGGCTTTTTATTTTTATGTTTCTTCGTCTGGCATTAACATCAGGGTGAAGTGGTGTATCGTTAATGTTGTTAAAAGAATGTAAAGTTTTCTAACCAATAACACATCGCTAAATTTATACAATTCAGATGTGGGAAACAATCGTAATTTAAAATGCATAACTTTGAGGAGATAGCGTTGACTTCTTTCGATTTCCAAAAAGTTTTATTGCACCTCCCTATACAGATAGACTGATATATAACAGACTTATTTTATTTCCTTGAACAATTTCATTATTTTACAGTTGGTATGGGAAGAAATAGGAACGTGGAACTCATATCCAAAGGAACGCCTAGTCATTAAGGATATTGTTTGGCCTGGTGGTCTACACACACCGCCGCAAGGTGTTCCTGAAAAATTTCATATGCGTATCACATTTTTAGAAGAACCTCCTTATATTAATCTTGCTCCACCTGATCCTATTAGTGGAAGATGCTCTCTCGATAGAGGAGTTATCTGTCGCGTTGCACCTGAAGTTGATGTTGCAGGGTGAGTGTAATATATTGTTACATATTTTTAAAACAATTTATGTACAAATATTTTTGTAAATAAGATAATTAAATATTTCAGGCTAGAGGCTGGTTCAGCACATGGCAATAGTTCTCTTTACCAATGCTGCAGTGGATTTTGTATAGACTTGCTGCAACAGTTAGCAGAACAATTGGGCTTCACGTATGAACTTGTACGTGTCGAAGATGGCCGTTGGGGAACACTCCATCATGGCAAATGGAATGGTCTTATAGCTGACCTCGTCAACAAAAAAACTGATATGGTCAGTTAACGTTAGCCAAATCTACACGCATACATGCAAATTAATTTGAGATATACATTATGTCATTAATTTTAGGTACTAACATCTTTAATAATAAACTCGGATCGCGAAGCTGTGGTAGACTTCAGTGTGCCATTCATGGAGACTGGAGTTGCAATTGTGGTGGCAAAACGAACGGGAATAATTTCACCAACAGCGTTCTTAGAACCATTTGATACAGCTTCTTGGATGCTCGTTGGAGCAGTTGCAATACAAGCAGCAACATTTTCAATATTCTTCTTTGAATGGCTATCGCCTAGCGGTTTCGATTGTTCAACTGGACTTAATTCAAAACGAGTGCCGCAAAATCGTTTTTCACTGTGTCGGACATATTGGATTGTGTGGGCAGTATTGTTTCAAGTATGAAAATAAACATACATATAGAAAAAATTTATAATTTGAATGAACAATAGATTTTTATAGTTAATGTAATTGTTCTTTTAGGCATCTGTACACGTGGATTCTCCTCGGGGTTTTACGGCCCGTTTTATGACGAACATGTGGGCTATGTTTGCAGTTGTGTTTCTCGCTATTTACACTGCGAATCTTGCAGCATTTATGATAACACGGGAGGAGTTTCACGAATTGAGTGGAATAGACGATCCTCGGATATCACGGCCCTTATCACATAGGCCCGCTCTCAAGTTTGGTACGGTGCCGTGGTCGCATACCGATGCCACTTTAGCAAAATATTTTTCAGAACCACACGCATATATGGCGCAGTAAGTTAAATACTTTTTGGTTGTTCCTTCAGTTTCTCTCAGATTACCTCTCCGACCAAAACATTGCATTTTATGTGCATGTCAACATTACGTTGTAATATTTTCTATCTTCTAGTCAGAGATTAATTTTCCCTTAAATTGTACTATAAATTAAACACCAATTTCCGACCACTTCCTCCGAAAAAGCCTTTACTTTTGAGTTATGTTATATTGTGCTATATTTAGGTACTAACAAATCTCGGTAATTTAGATCGATCATTCACAAATCTGCATAAAAATTAATTAAATTGCTATTATTTATAGAAATTGAATGTCTGACACACACCCAAATAAGTAATTATTAATGGGGATATACTTTCAGATACAATCGTAGCACTGTGAGCGCTGGTGTTACAAGTGTATTAACGGGTGAATTAGATGCGTTTATATACGATGGTACTGTATTAGATTACTTAGTCTCCCAAGTAAGTAGATATTTAAATTCACCTATCAAGTTTAATCGTATATAGAACTGACACAAAACTAATAAGTACGATATTTATTCAGGACGAAGATTGCAGATTATTGACCGTAGGATCATGGTATGCTATGTCGGGTTATGGCTTGGCATTTACTCGAAATTCAAAATACCTTAGCATGTTCAACAAAAGATTATTAGATCTACGTTCTAATGGAGATTTAGAAAGATTAAGAAGGTCAGTAAAAATACTATTATTAGATTACTGATACCCCTATGCACTCTGACACACTCCAAGCAAACATTCAAGTTTCTTTGCATTCTTTGACTGTGCATTGCATATTCATAGCTCTCAAACGTTAATCACAGATGATGCGATTACAGGTACTGGATGACAGGCACTTGCAAGCCTAACAAACAGGAACACAAGTCATCGGACCCGCTCGCCTTAGAGCAGTTCCTGTCGGCATTTCTATTGCTGATGGCTGGCATTCTGCTGGCAGCTCTCCTGCTGCTTCTAGAACACGTGTATTTCCGTTATATGCGTACGCATCTAGCTGCTTCCAGTGCCGGCTCGTGCTGCGCTCTTGTGTCATTGTCCATGGGTAAATATGGAATATAAAGAACTCTTATACATGCGATAAAATATTTATGAATGCATAATATACCTATGATTTAAAATCTTAGGTGCAGTTACATTTTAGATCTTATATTGATAAGAACGAGTGTCACAATTTTAAATTTGTATGGTTGGCTATATTTTTTTCCATTTCTATTCACAGGACAATCTTTGTCGTTCCACGGTGCTGTGGTCGAAGCTGCGTCACGAGGGTTTGGAGCTGGAGGTCGTGGACATTGTCGTTCCGCGGTTTGTGCCGCACAGGTAACTAAAATATACATTTCAAGCTTCTTTATAACCGACTTCAAAATTGAAAAGGTTATATGTTGGGCGGAGATGTATGTTTTTATATATAAGTTTTTTCAAGTACTTATGTTCATCGATACTACCGATTTTCAAAATTCTTTTTGAACCGAGGTGATCCCATTCAAATTTTATCGAAATCACATTAGCGATTTTCCTTATATAACAAAACAAAATACGCTTTTCATAAGAAATCATCCACTTACACATCCAAAATCCCAAAGGAGGATTTTATATGTTCAACGAGTGTGTATATTTATTACGAAAGTAGGTATGTCCATCGATTGCTTCTTGAATTTTATTGAGAACCAATTTCGAACAAACAAGCTGTTTCCCCGAATTTTTCGCCTGCGTAAATTGAGGCCTATGCGGCCCTGCGTATTATGTAGCTTCTCGTGCATGAAAGACTTATAAATAAGTCTAATAATTTCAGAACCTAACCAATGCAAACAAATAAGCAATCAAATTTTTCTTCTAATTTTTGACATATTATTATACTTGGTAAAAAAATATGTCGATCTAATATTTCTTTTTTTAAGACTTTCACTATGTTAAATATTTTAATTATATTTAATATTGTTAGTGTTACTTTTATGTCAAACATATAAATGTCACTAAAAAGCACGAAATAAAAACTTTAAATAGAACCGATTTCAAACTTTTAAAAACTTTTAAAAAAGAAACTTATTCAAGAAAATGTTATTGATGTCAGGCGGAGTTTTTTTTGGGTTATTTATTAAATGATAGGCGCCCAACTTGAATAGTATTTTTTTGAATAATACGCTTTTAAGATAAGTATTATTTAACATTTTTTTTTAAGTTTGTAGTCTGTTCTATTTTTTATTTTATTTATTTAGGAAAACAAACAGTCGTTTATAATTTAAAAACAATCAAAACTTATTTAACTAATAGACCTGACAGTTCCATTACTAAATACTTACAAAATTTATTTAATTGCTAACTATTAACAATAGTGATGACATCGAATAAACTTAACCTACACATCAAACAAACAGCTTCTCCACAATAATCTCAAAAACTCACTCTGATTATTCATTTTTAAATATAATATCTCCCACTTTTCGTTTATATTGATTTAATGATAGCGAAAAATCTTCGTCATTTAAATTGTCATTGTAAAATCTACAGGAGTGTCTTATAAAAGTGTTCCCAGCGTAATTTGTGGCAGTAGGTGAACAATGAAAAATGTTTTTAGAACGTGAGGAGACTCTAGGGATTCTAAAATTTATTAATTGTAATTATGAAGATGAGTCCACATAATAATAATATAACACACATACTTCATCCAGATAAACACGTCTATTTTGTAAGGAATCAATATTATACCTTTTATAGTCAACAAAGAAATGTCCTGTTCGATAATCTAAAGATTTCAAAAATTAATTTGTATTTTTTCAATGCATATTATGGGCAATGTGAATAACATATTGGGGGTTCCAAACGACGCATGCATAGTCTAATAGAGATCGAACAAAGGAATAATACAATATTTTATAGGTAAATATTTCCCTAAACGGTCTCGTGTATCGTAGTATCATTCATACCAAGCTGCTTTGTTATGTGTAGATAAAGTGCAACTTGGCATCCAGTATAACTCCGAGGTTTCTATTTCATTCACACGCTCGATCTTACGCCCTGAAAGGATATAATCATATTTTATTATGTTTACGAGTAAAAGTTATAGTGTAACACTTTCCTGAATTCAAGAACAGTTGGCTATTTTCACAATAAATTTCAAAGTTTTGTAAATCTGTTTGCAGCTTTAAGCAGTCATTGAAACTAGAAATAACTGTAAATTTTAGTGTCATCTGGATAAAGCAGATGACGCGAATTGGGAAAGCAGGAACCAACGTCATTTACATATATTGTGAATAAGAAAGGGCCCAAGTGAGAGCCCTGAGGAATGCCAGAAGATATATCTAGGAATCCAGAAGTGTAACCCTTCAATGCCACAGCTTGACTTTGATTGGTAATATAAAAACATAACCATCGCAATAGGTCACGATGTATACCGAACTCTGAAAGCCTTTTTATAAGTGTAAAATGACTAATTTTGTCAAAAGCCTTTGAAAAGTCGGTATACACAGCATCCACCAAGAAACCCATATCAAGCGAGTTGAGAAGACAATCTGTAAATAAGACCAGATTACTGTCAACACTACGACCTTCTAAAAAAGCCGTGTTGTAGTTGTAAGATGTGACGAGACACGATACGGCTTAGTTCGTCTGTTATATATATATTTATTTTAAGTTTTTATTTCATGCTTTTTAGTGATACTTAAATGTTTTATTTTATTTATTTATTTATTTAATGGCACAATTACAGATTACAAATCATAGCTATAGAATTATATCTGATTTATATTTAAAATACAGAGTAAATTTGCACTCCAATTACAACTGTGCGCAGCTCCATTCCGCAATAAAAAGACATCACATATCAAACTGAAAGTTTCAAACTTTAAACATTCCAAAATTAAAAACAAGTGCGAAACCGGTTACAACCTTTACAATTTTAGATATAATCCATAAATTCCATTCAGCAATTTATACAATAATTAATTAATAATACTAATACTATTAGGTCACTATCTCTAACCAAGCTTTTAATATACAATTAGCTTAGAGATAGCCACAACATCTCAACACATATACAACCAATCAAGCAAATCAATATAAAAATGGCAAAACAATTGTAAAAACAAAACCTACAACCACATGCAATGACAGGCGAACATTTCAAACTAATTTCATTTGCCTATTATGTATATCATTTTATTAAAAAAAAAAATATTAAAATATAGGTACTAACATTTTCATAAATTTACAACTTCATTTCATTTCATAACAATTAAAATAATAAAAAAACACAAATATAAAAAAGAATAACAAAAATAAATCCATTGAATGACATATTATTACACTGATATATATCTTACTTGCACAACAATATAGAGATAACACTAAAAATATTAAATACTAGTGGCCGCCAGCGATTTCGCCCGCATTTTCCATTATTTCTTCGCTCCTAATAATTGCAGCGTGATATTATATAGCCTAAAGCCTTCAACACAAAAAGAATTTTACAATTCAAACCAGTAGTTCCTGAGATTTGCGCGTTCAAACAAACAAAAAAACAAACTCTTCAGCTTTATAATATAAGTATAGATAAACTGTAGTGTGCGAATATACCAGTCTTAACGGCTCTTTTGGCTAGAGAGTTGCAGCCTTGTTAGGTGCGCCAACCGCTCGTCTCCCGTTTTCCCAACATTTCCCTTCACTGCTCTGCTCCTATTGATTGTAGAGTGATGAAAAGTATACTATAACCAGCTCAGGAGTATGAAAAATAATTGTACCAAGTTTCGTTACAATTCGTCGAGCAGTTTTTGTTTCTATAAAGGTTATACAGATAGACAGACAGACAGACAAAAATTTTACTGATTGCATTTTTGGCTTCAGTATCGATCCCTAATCACACCCTGATAGTTATTTTGGAAATATATTTCATGTACAGAATTGACCTCTCTACAGATTTATTATAAGTAAATATGATTAAAATATTCAGTTGCACAAACGTCCATTTAAATAGTCATTAGTTTAAAAGCGACATTTTCCATACAAATTTGACAATTATAAGAGCTTAAAGGAGTCATTAAACATTAATGGACGTTTGTGCACCTGATAGTGAAAGTCTTAGAAAAGGAGACATTGTACATTTGCTCGACATAATATTTTTATTATAATAATAATAATATGTCGAAAATTAGAGGAAAGGTTTGATATTTGTTTGCATTGGATAGGTTTCGAAACTATTGGACCGATTTATAAAAGTCATTCATGTACGGCAAGCTACATAATACGCAGGGGACTAGGCTTTATTTTGAAACGTAAAAAGCTTAAGTTATTGAGAATAATTAGTTGAGATTTTGTACTTTCCTCAATTCAGAAACTGACCGTTAATCTTTCATTTCTTTTGTTTCTTGTGTTTAAGGTTTGGCGTGCACGTCACGAGCGCGATGCGGCAGTTGCGCGTGCCCGGCAGCTAGCGGCGGCGTTGGCGGCGCACGGGTTGCAACCGCCACCGCGTAGGCTTGCTTCCGCGGCCGCGTTGCTGGCGGGCGGCGAGCACGATGCCACGCGGCCCCGCACACTGCACGCGCCCGCCGACCTCCTGCCTGATCTCGACCGTCCACTCTCTTGTGGAGATTTGCGCGCGAGGTTTGATTTTTCTTCACTTTCATACTTCAAATGCGTAATCTATAATCTGTGTCACCCGCATATTAGCTTCCCCTAGGTCTTTCACCAATTTTGATGATGGATATTTATCTGGGCGCTAGTCGTAGCCAACAGTAGTGGGTATAAAAATAAACCAGCGGTTACGCCCCTGTGGTCCTGTACTATAGAATATATACTTATTTTCAAATTTCTATAACTAGAAATGAGAAAATTCCATTAGATTTCTCACCCTATTTCAGCCCCTTAGGGGTTGAATTACACTTACATCATGAAAGGAATTCCTGTACCAAATTTAAGTTTCTAGTTAGGTACAATAGTTTCGGCTGTGCGGCTGTGCGTTGATATAAGTCAATCGGGTTTGCTTTTATACTCGTATATAGATTTCACCTAGCCAGCATTGGCATACAGTATTTGATCTAAAATGGACTTTACTAAGGTTTTGGTTTTCAATCTTTTTATAGGGGCCGTTTCAGTCGTCAGTTTTTACTGAGCAAGTAGTTATTAATGAATAGTTTTATTCAAAGATAACGATGTAATTTCGCTGCTAATTGGTTAAATCAGCTTTTCACTTACGCTGCTATCAGCCGCGTAGTTGAACATAACGGCTAAATAGAGCCCAGCCAACTAGTTGACTGTCAAAGATCACGTGGCGAGGAATAATCAAATTATGTTCCTAACTTGGAAACAGTGTTACATTTAAAAGCAAAATAACAGTAAAATAAGAATAAAATTACCTTGAAATTTAATTTCATAAAACCTACATAGGTAGTGCAAATCTTTTTATAGGCTTTGTCGAAATTTGAATTGCGTTAAAACTCTCGTGGGTAATTACTAATTATTACCCATTAGGTAATTATCACTTTCCGTAGAACACGGATAAGTAATTTTATAATTTTTCACGAATAAAAATTAGAGTTAAGAAAAATACAAACGTTGACTTTTGACGCTATTTCGTAACTCCGTGATGGCGGAAAAAAAGATTATGCTAAATGAACATTACGGCAGCTTTTACTTCAGCCGTCACGTTAATTCCTTCCCATAAAGTGGGAGATGACTTTTTATCTTCCCATAGCATGGAGTATCGTTAGATAGGTTTTTCAAAAATATTAGGGATGTGGGAAAACCGTTTATCGATTCAGTTACATAACCGTTCGTGACTTGTTAAGCTTCAAAGTACCAATTTTCGTTAGAGTCAAATGCGCCCCCCAACCCTCTACCAACTAAACGGTTGTTGATAGAAATTCAAACGACACAGCAGTAGTATTTATATTTAACGAAGTTAAATAGAAAACTATTTGACCAAATGTAGTTAACACGAAAATATGGAACTCCTTTGAAAACAACAAACGTGTTTTTTTTGCGTTTTTATGGATAATGGTACGGAACCCTTCGTGCACAAGTCCGACTTGCGCTTGCCCGGTTTTTTTAATGATATATTTTAATTGAGAATTAATCATCGGACGAAAATATATTTATGGGCGACTATTAATGAGGTACTTTAATAATTTATCAGAGGGGTGGTAAAATATGTTTACGAAAAATGTTCATACTAAACTGCTGATATAATTATCGAATGTAAAGCTGAAAAGCTGAATTCTTCTTAGGCATCTTCTACTTCATGAGTCTAGGTCATTTATTTTATGCCATTCTCTCCGATTGTGGGCTTTTTCCATTCATTTCACTCCAGCTGTTTTCTTTATATCGTCGTACCAACGCATATTTGATCTTCCTTAAGGGCGTTGTATATATGTAGGTATATTTCTGTATTCTCTTTATGGTGGTTTGATTTACCCTAATGTTCACGTTACTTTTTAAATATTTTTTTCATATTCATTTCTAATATGTACCATCACCCTAGAAGCATCACTTAGTTCTTGTATCATGGTTTCGAGCTCTTTGGGGCAATCCGGAAGCAGGACAATGTCATTAGCGAATCTTAAATGGTTCAATCTTATGCCTGTCACGTTACGTAACACGTAACACCATTATTTACCTAATCCTGTGTTTTAAAAACATCTTTTAACACTAATGTAAATAGTTTAGAAGAAAGAGCATCTCCCTGTCTCACTCCTCTGCCCACTCTGACTGAGTTAGTTTTCAGTGGGAGGTTCACTTCCAAACTAACATTATTATATATTTTTTTCTATCAGATGGGTATAGCGATGGTCAAATCTATCAAAGGCCTCTTTATAATTAATAAAGGCTAGCCATAAGGGCATTTGATATTCTGTGGTCTTTTCAATAATGATTCGTATAGCTAGTAGGTGGTTGTGAAGCCTCCCTGTTCAATTGTTTGATAAAAGTCCAGTTTTTGGTAAGACGAGTCGCAATGATCTTAGTAAACAACTTATAGAGGTGGGATAACAGACTAATAGGACGTTAGTTGTTCAAGTCCATCTTTTTTCCTATTTGGTTCAATATGATTACAATATGATTTCTTAGCATATTCCTATTTTTTCGGTATTCGACTTTCTTCTAGACACTTATTGAAGAAATTGAGAAACTTTATGACTGAATCCCCAATTTTTAGCATTCCTGCTATGACGTTGTCGCTGTCAGGGGCTTTACCATTTGACATCTTTTTAAGAGCTAGTTTTATCTCAGTTTCAGTTATTTCGGGTACATTTTCACAAGCAACGTTACTTATAGTTCGTGTATTACGTGGCTTTGAACTTTTAGATCTGTATAACTCTAGATAATATTTTTCGGCAACCCTCATAAGTTTATTCTGTTCAATGATCCGACAACCCCTTTTGTCGTAAGTTTTGAAATAAGATAATTTCCAGCTTTAAAGTTTTTCTGAAAACTTTGAGACCCCTGTTTTAGCAATAATATTTTGGACTTCTTTTTTACGGTACATCTCGAAGTCTTTTCAACACTCTTCCTCACTTCTTTACAGATGTTTTTGAATTTTTGCCTTTGCCTTAGTTTAGCATCATAATTTGTCTTCTTTCCAATAACTATTTAGTTTTGGTCTGGAGTTTATAAGATCTGCTGTTGTTTTTTAATTTCAGTTGGCTTTCTGTGTCTTATGCTGAGTAACTTAGTATCCAATTTTATCTTATCGATTATCGACAATCTATCTCGCAACCGTTGTTGGTAAATTTCGATTGATCTAATTTTTTCTATGTATGATTTTTGCGTATCACATCAATTTATGCGTTTATGTTGACATTTGCTCGGATGAGACTACAGTCACTAACTGTGTATAAACTTTTGATAACTGTTACTTCTCAGATTTATGTTTTGTGGCTTCTTAATATATAAAAGATTTTATTTTTATATCTTCCGTCCAGTGATAACGATGTCCATTTTCTGTCTGGCCTTTTCTGAAAAAAAAGACGAAGTAAAACATCTTTTCGTTTTCCAAAAAATTTACGAGTTTAGATCTTCTCTCATTTCTTTTGCCGTCTAAATTGTTCTATAATATTTTCAGAATCATCCATTTTTTGGCCTATTTTAGCATTGAAGTTTCCTGTCACGACTGTATGTGTGGATCTATGATTCATCAAACATGAGCTTATGTCTTCGTATTCGATATCATCAGCGGTACCAGTAGGAGCATACACTTGAATTACTTTTAAAGCTATTTTCTTTGTAATTTGAAGGATGATGTAAAGAATTCTATCGAAACCAGAGTTTATGGCCTTGATGTCATTATACATAGACGTTTATGTATCAATGAACCACACCATGTTCATGTTATCAAATACGGTGTCAAATTTTAAAATCTAACGCAATCCCTTTTAATTTGATATTTAAAAGGTATTCACGAACTTTACGTTTGACATGTGAAAGCGTTTGCGATAGTGACGTTTTTTTAAATATATCTAATGAAAGATGTCGTTAATTTAACGTTTATTAGAATCGTTAGACGCAAATATCTTAAATGGCTATCGAGAAATGTCAAACAAAAAAGTTAAATGCTAACTGCGATATTTCAATGGATTTTACTAAGTTTTTATGTATTGTTTCTTTAACATTCAAATCATCATTCATTTCAAAAGCAACTGCGACTTAAAAAGTTATTAATTTCATAAATCGCTATTATAAAAGATTTAAAAAATAGACAAATTGTTGGCTATTTGTCTATTTTTAAAACCTTTCACCTACCAAAAGGAAATAAATCTAAAATTATCATGTTTACAGAAGGATTTTAAAATACTAAATATATGTCCATAATATTATAGACATAAGTGTGTGTGTGTGTGTGAATTAAGTGGCGATTTAAGTAATAGTGCTTATCAACTTATATAAGTCAATAAAAAACACTGTTCTTCTTTTTTAGAGAGCGGACACGAGTAGAAATGGAAACAGTGCTGTGAGGTGCATATTGCGCCACCTTATTTCAATTCCTGAAGGCTGTTCTTACACCAAGTTATACAAGACGAAGTTAGTTATACCTAATGTTAAAATACGGACAGATAAAAAAGCGTTGTAATTATTAAATAAATTATTCCAATTATTAAAACAGAGGGCTGGATGTAGATAGCGAAGCGTTGTTGTGAGACGTGCGCGCAGCGCGGGCTGGGCGCCGGGCGCGCGTCTTCATGTTGTCTACTACAATAAAATATATTTTTTGGACAATATTTTTGTGTTTTTATGGGCGACCTTAAATTAAAAAGTGATCGTTCAATGGTTTTCAAATTTATGAATAAATGGCTGTAATTTTTATAAAAAAGCAACGTTTGTCTATTTTGTTTCCTAAAAAAATATACATTACCAAAATATACCTATCACCTATCCACGAACATGCTTTATTTAAATGATATACTTACTGAAAAGAAGCTGTTGACACCTCTAAATATGTTTAACATTTCATATTTCCTCTCCCTTGAATCCGCTTTGTGAGACTCGGATGAACTCCCTTTTATTATTTGACCCGAGGCCTTCCTCGGGCAACGGCCTAGGGCGCTCTTATCTGGCTGGCGGCATGGCATGTCGACTGGGCAAAAAAAGAATTTCTATTTAGTTCGTCAGTCAGTTTTGATGGACTACGAACTACCCAATAAACAAAAATTAGTCGTCATTCTTGTTATTAGAACCTTAAAAATGCAGAACATTAAAAATTACTTTTTTTTATTCCAACACGAGTCCATGTCCGCGGCATTCAGAAGTACAAAACGGCTGCTACTTCAGGTTACCGCAATATTTCAAATTTCTGCAATGGATTTCGACTTCTACCGTTTATATATTAAGGTTTAAAATCGAGTGGAGATATATGACATTAATGAATAATCTGACGTGTAGGTGACTGTACATACATTAGTCTTTTATTTTGTTTGGGCGTCATTCCAGTAATTTACCTAGGGCGCCAAATTTCATAGAGCCGGCGACGGGCAACAAAATAAGAGCCATGATGTTAATGCTATTATTCCTGGTAAAGGAAATGGAAATACCTCGAGGTTTGAATCAAAAGAATATAACAAGGGGTGCGGTAGGTGTGGAAATTCTAAACATGCTTCAAATGACAAAAATTGTCCGGCTATAGGAAAAAGTTGTAATTTTTGCGGAAAGTTGGGTTTTTAGACAATATTGCAAGACACAATTGCTTGGGAAGAGAAAAATAGAGGAAAATTATAAAAAGAAAGAAGGAAAATCATCATAACAATGGAAGAAACGAAGAGAAGTTGGAAAAGACAGTGTAACTGAAGAAGTTGATTACATTTTCAATATTAATAATGATGCAAATTTAGAATGTGATGTCGGAGGTATAAAAATAGAGATGTTGATCGATTCAGGGTCAAAGTATAATCTTATTACAGATCAGACATGGAGAATGTTAAAAGAGTGGCCTGTTTAAGCCAAAATAAAAAACCTATGAAAACGCTTTTGGCGTATGGCAGTAAAACTCCGTTAGACATCTTAGGATCATTCGAGTCAATGATGAAGGTAATAATCGGTCAGAGCGCGCACAGCTATACGTCATCGCCAACGGATCTAGAAACTTGCTAGGCAAAGATAGTGCAATAAATTTCGGTGTCTTGAAACTAGGTGTTAACGTCAATCAAATTAAAAATGAACCGTTTCCAAAATTCAGAGATGTTTTGGTCCAAATACCCATAGATGACTCACAGAAACCCATTTCTCAGCCGTATCGGCGTATACCTATACCAATCGAAGAAAAGATTGAAATGAAAATAAGGGAGTTACTAGAATGTGACATCATAGAAGAAGTCCATGAACCATCTAAATGGATATCTCCTATAGTACCTATATTGAAAGATAATGGAGAATAACGCCTATGTGTCGACATGAGACGTGCTAATAGGGCCATTCATACGGCCTGCTAATAAGTGGGGAGCAGTAGGAAGCTCGGCCAAATATGTAAGGCCGGGCAATAAAAAAAAATAAAAAAAATAGGGCCATTCAGCGTGAAAATCATCCATTACCTTCGATGGAACACCTTTTGCCAAAGATTAGGAAAGCCAAGTACTTTACCAAATTGGCTATTAAGAACGCATTTCATCAAATGGAACAGCATCCACATTCCAGGCACATCACAACTTTCATTAGTTCGAAAGAGCTTTATCGATATAAGCGCCTTATGTTCTGTATCAACTGCGCGCCAGAATTATTTCAGAAAATTCTCGAAAAAATGTGACTAAAATGTGATGGCGCTATAAATGTCTTAGACGATATTTTTATATATGGCCGAAGAGAGCAAGAACATGATTTGCGTCTTCAAAAGGTATTGCATGTAGTTAAGGAGAATAATGTTCTCCTCAATGATAACAAATGCTTATATAAAATTAAAAAAGGAAATTTTCTGGGACACGAACTGACATCGGAGGGTATCAAGCCATTAAACAAATATATAGAGAGTGTAGCCCATTTTAAGGTTCCGAAAACTATAGAGGAGTTACAAAGCTTTTTAGGCCTTGTAAATTATATTAACAAATGGATACCTAATATGGCTACAGTAACAGAGCCATTAAAACAGCTATTGAGAAAGAAGTTTGGCAAAAATGCAAATATACAAGAGTTTTGGACAACTGAGCAAGATAATGCTTTCACCTAATTAAAATATACACTTACAAAATTCAAACACTCGGTTATTACGATCTTAATGATAAAACTCAAGTCATAGCTGATGCTAGCCCGGTCGGATTAGGCGCAGTCTTGGTACAAATTGATACCAAGGGTCCCAGGATTATTGCATATGGAAACCGTACGTTGACAGACTGCGAATAAAGATATAGCAAAACTGAAAAAGAGGCTCTAGCCTTGGTTTGGGCTATTGAACACTTCAATGTATTTTTATTTGGTAAAGAGTTCGACCTTACCACGGACCATAAGCCCTTGGAGGTTTTATTTGGAGCTAAATCAAAACCATGCGCTAGAATTGAGCGATGGGTATTGAGGCTACAGGCTTACTGATACAATATAAAGTATAGGCCTGGTAAATCTAATATAGCTGATCCGTTGTCGCGTTTGTGTAAAAATGTAAATCCCCCAAAGACCAAAAGTGACGAATATATCCATCAGATTGTGGAGAGTGCTAGACCTTGTGCAGTTACAATGGCTGAGATTAAGATCAACTCTGGAGAGGATTCAGAAATACGCAAAGTGAAAAAAGGCATTTATAATAATGAGTGGGATGATAGTGTAAAAGGATATAAAACATTTCAAAATGAACTGTGAGTAATCTTCGAAAGAGTATTTTAGATGCAGCGCACAAAGGACACCCAGGGATCGTAGCGATGAAGGGTCGGCTAAGGTGCAAAAATTTAGTGGCCAAGAATCGATAGAGATGCCGAGACCTTGGTGAATTGGTCGGGTTGCCGAATCCCCCTACATTTATGAAGCGTTGCGAGCTGCCGGAAGCACCTTGAGTTGATGTTGCCATGCACTTACTTGGTCCATTACCTAGTGGTGAATATCTTTTAGTAGTAGTGGACTATTAAGAAAGAGATAAAAATTACAAAAATTTTACCAGCGTTGTTATTATTAGATTATTAAAATAAATGTTCAACCGATTGGGTTATCCTTCTTCAATCACAGCCGACAATGGACGGCAGTTTGTAAGCGACGAATTTAAATATTCTGTAAGGAGTGTAACATACTACTATTTAATACTATTCCCTACTGACCTCAGTAAAATGGTGAGGTAGAGAGGCAAAACCGTGGTATATTAAAGCGCTTAAAGATTGGAAAACTCGAAAAGAAAGACTTACAAGAGTGTTTAAATGAATACCTCATGATGTACAATTCAACACCGCATCGGTAACGGGAAAAAGGACACAGATATAAGGGACAAGGACCAAGAACGAAAGGAAAAAGGAAAGGAATATGGAGATAAAAGGAGGAGAGCAAAGGATTCAGATTTGATTGAAGGAGACAAAGTGTATGTAAAAGAAATTAACAGGACAAATAAGCTTACCTTAAACTATAACCCAACACCACATGTTGTGGAAAAGACAAACAATGGAGACGTTACCATCAGAAATGATGAAACTGGACAAACCTTAAGGAGAAATATATTGCACTTAAAAAGAGTAGAAGGGCAATGGAAAGCTATAAGTGAAGATCTAGAAGATGAAACAGAAGACCCTGAAGTTAATGAGAAATATTAAGTACTACAATTTAATTGCTTGTGTTTACTAATTAAAAATATTTAATTTAGAATGTGATTGAAATGTTTACCTATCTGCAAATTAATAATAAAGTTTTTAATAAGAAAGAGATGTAGTGTTTGTGAGCTAAAACTATAGCAATAGCTATATACACTGTCTCGTGCTTACGGTGTGGCGGGAGTACCGCGCGTTAGTAAAAACATCAGAATATCCGATGATCTTGCCACGAGCTTCCAACGGTATAGTTAAGCCCATTCATTACAATCACCATATGGATCCAGTCTTCGACAGGTGGACAAATGGATTACCACAAACAAAACAATAATACTTAATTTGTTGCTTCTTTTGTATTTTTTTCATTAACTTTCTTTGTTTTACTAGTAGATGATTTATTATTGCCGTTTTTCTTTTTTCCAACCGATACTATAATTTGTTTTTTGTCTTTTAATTTCTTTCTCTCTTCCTTCATTTTTGTTGTTCTTTCATAAGTGTACTGGTTTAAACTTCAGTTTTTTTTGAGCTTAGTATTGGCAAAGGTCTGATTTCTGCAAGCTCAACGTGAGGATGTGAGGAGATGATACTGGACGAAGTAAAGTGGCATTCACTGGTGTAGCACACGTATTCTCTGCATGTCCTGTAATTCTACAGGCAGCTACCTTCCAGGACTTTTCTTAGAACTTCTCTTTTTAATACGTCGCTGCAAAGTAGACAGTGTAAACCCATACTTCTTCGCGACAGCAGACGCTGAA